ACCCACAAAAATGCTAAAAAGTTACAAAACATCCTATCTTTGAATATCCCACTTGATAATCTTGTAATTTTGTAAATTGTCATAATTGTGTGAGTTTGATCCTTTAAAAATATTGTTTTATGCAATTGTTTTAGGTCTGTGGATGTTGCTTAGGGTTTTCAGAGATATTAGTTTTTCACTCATGTTCTGTTACCTCTCCCTGGCCTGATAATTTCATGTGCTTTTAAGTATTGGTAACAATCTTTAGTCAAGCCTATGGTTTTCCCAGTTGCAATGGATGACTATGAAAGTTGGACCATAAAGAAGGCTGAGCGCCAAAGAATGGAGGCCTTTGAACTATGGTGCTGGAAAAGATTCCCTTGGACTGCAAGACGATCAAACTGGTCAGTCCTAGAGGAAATGAACCCTGACTGCTCTTTAGAAGGCCAGATCCTGAAGAGGAAACTCAAATACTTTTGCCACCTAATGAGAAGGAAGGAATCACTGGAGAAGAACCTCATACTGGGAAAGATTGAGGGCAAAAGAAGAAGCGGATGACAGAGAATGAGGTGGATTGATGGAGTCACCGAAGCAGTAGACCTGAGCTTAAATTGACTCCAGAGGATGGTAGAGGACAGGAAGACCTGAGGAACATTGTCCATGGAGTTGCGATGGGCCGGACACGACTTCGCAACTAACAGCAACAATCTTTACTGAACAGGGAACATGTGCACATAAGTTAAGAGGCCACCACTGAAAGGACCTTGCTTGACCAGCAGATGAGAAGGAGCATGTCCTTGTAAGAACGTTTACCATAGCTCCCAATAATCTCAATACACCAGGCACCAACTGTTGTGAGACTTCTACAGATGACTTTTTGGCAGCACTTTTCAAGAAGTGAAAAGAAACTGCAAAAGGGCTGCTTGAAATGTTTCCCCACATTTCAGACCCCACAGCTAGACTCAACCGAGGAGTGTGACAGACTTTCTAAGAAGGCTTCCATGTAGAACTGACCCTTGCAGTGATGACTTAGAACTAGATGGTCTCTCTCTCTCTCTCTCTTTCCTCCTCCTCCTCCTCCTCCTCCCCTCTCTCTTTTCACTGAAGTTGAAGTCATCAGTTATAAATTCAAACCCTTTCTCCCAAAACTTGGTAAGTGTAAGTCACTGTTAAAAATATAATTTAAAGAAGCATTATCCTTAATCCATCACTAACAAAATTCTGGTTTTGACAAACGTTTTCTATATAAATGTTAACAGAGTTCAATGAATTCTAAATATTACTATTTTTTTGCATCTAAGTGGTGATTTGAGATCCACTGATGTTCTATAGAAGTTATGGGTTATGTAAATATTACTGTGCAACTAAAGCTAACATTGTCAGAGGAAAAGAATACATATCAAGTACTTGGAATCTGACAAATAGGCAGTGTAAGAGTCTAATACTGTGGTACTTCAAAGAAAAATGAACGATTCCCTTCAGCCAATGGATTGAGGACCTGATTAAACTTGCCACTTACAAGTCGATTACTTATAGACTTAGTAGAAGCAAGTATAATGAAATATGAGATTTATTTATACAGAATACAGTAGGTTAATAAATACATTTATATAGTAAATGTATATAACCAGAAACATCACTAGAAGCCAAAATCACAAGACTACATCTGATTTACTCTGGCTACGTCATGAATGCAAGTTCATTGGAGAAGTCAGTGATGCTAGGAAAGGTTAGTGGAACCAAAAGAAGGGGCAAGCAAAGGACATGCTGGCTTGATCCCATCAAAGCTGATACAAAGGTGAACATCCAACAACTGAAAGAAGCTGTGCTTGACAGGGTAGCAATCCTGGAATCAGTTCCTTAAAATTTGAACTTCAAATAAAGCACATTCCATCTCCTAAGTCATGTCACCATACCTCCGAGAAGATGAGTCTAGCCATGACCATGAAGATCTAACCCTGGGCAACTTTCCCTCATGGATGGGAGCCTCTTCCCACTGGTTTCCACCACAGATGATAATGGAGGAGAGACTCTTTCAGATGTTTGGGTTTAGAGTAGACCTTTCTGCCTTTGAATTAAGACCATTGTGACTGGCAGGCAATCGGAGCAGGTCTTTTGTGGTTCTTGTTACCTGATTGTTTTGTTTTGCTGGGCTCTTAGCATCTTGGCAGCTGCCCTCTTTAGAGTAATTTGCAGCCAAAGTCCCATGTGTGAAAGGCTGGAAGGAGGCTCTCCCAGGTTGGGAAAGTGGCAAAGGATGGACCAGTGGAAACCGACCATAACGTCAGGGCACCCTCCTATCTGTGTACCCATCAGGTGGAGCTTGAATGTGGGAAGGAAGGCCCACCTCCATTAGAAAGGAGTGAAGGTCTGGATATGATGCTCTCTGGGTTCCAGTGAAGACTGTGGCTTTGCTAGTAATGTCTCCTTCCCCTACTAATACCAGTCTTGGGTGAGGTATCATCAGCACCTTGTTGTATCATGTCTATTGCTTTGAGATCATTGTGGGTATTTATTTATTTATTCATTGCTTGTTTAGAAACACAGAGAAGCATATGTAAGGGACCCAAAGAGGCATCCATATTATTTCCCATCATTCTCCTTCAATCTGCTTATTCTGTCCTCCAACCTGCTACTTTTCTGAAGTTTTATTTTTTATTGCTTGAAACAAGTAACCTTATCAGTTCTGGCAAAGACACAGTCTTTTGGCCTGGTGAATTTTCTAAAAGCTCAGCCTTTGAATGTAGTTATTCTTCCCAATGTCATTTATTTATTTACTTACTTTCTGGAATGCTTTCTGCAGGAGGGGAATCCTGAAATATTTTATGCATTTGGGCTGCATCCAGACTGCCTGTTTTCACAACTGATGCTGTGACTGCACAGCACAAATGCATAATGATTAACCCCATTTGCCTCCCTTTGCCAGTTGTCATTCTGTACAGCTAGACTCGACTTGTGACCACAATTTCTGTTGCTAAATAAGGCAGTTGTTAAACAAATCATCCCCAATTTTACAACTTCTTTTGCCATGTTGTTAAGAGACACACTTCAATTTTTAAGTGAATCATGTGGTAATTAAGGCTGAGCTTTTAAAAAATTCACCAGGCCAAAAGATTGTGTGTCTTTGCAAGAACTGATAAGGTTAATCGTTTCAAGACATGAAAAATCAACTTTGATTGTCAGAAGCTGGATGGGATGGGAAAGTCCCAAATGGTGATCATGTGACACCAGAATGTGGCAACCATTGTAAATACAGACGGGTTGCCAAGCGCCCAAATTTTGATTACTTGACTGTAGGATATTGTGACCATCGCTAAGTGCAAGAACCAGTTGTTAGTCACTTTTTCAGTGACAGTGTTATTTCAGTCATTAAACAAATGGTTATAAGCCAAGGACCATCTGTAGTTGGAGGCCTCTAAGTGCTGCCTGGTATCCAGCTGTCTCACAAGGATGGGAGTTATAGTCTTACGGGAAAAAGACTCTCATCTTAAATATCCCCTCCCTGTCCTCCTGGGTAGCCCTGCTTTCCATTCCCTGGCCAGATTATGTGGCTTTGTGACAAAGAAGAAAGGAGGATTAGGCTGTTGATTGAATTAACTCATCCATCGGTTCAGCCTTCTTCCTCCTCTTTGTGGTGACTTTCTTTCAGAAGACTAGGTTGCTTTATCATCGCTTTTTCTCTCTCCGGTGAAACCCTGCATGAACTGTGCAGGTATAAAGAATGCAATAAAAGGAGGTAATGTCCAGGAAAAGAGAGGGGGGAGGAAGGGAGGGAGGGAGATGATATTAACCAGGCACATCAGAGAATGTGTTGCCTGGATCTGTATTGGATGTCTGGCTCCTTGTTAGAGTTTTAATCAGAAAGTCAGCTCCTTTGAGAATTAAAAATAGAAAATCCAGAGATATATATATATATTCTGCGGGTGTGAATGCAGATTCTGCTTGGGCATATGGCTATTAATCATGAGCTCTTTTTCCTCTACATCACCAAATGCTATATCAGTTTTCTAAGGAAAGATGAAGAATTAAACGTGTTATACTTTCATAATATGCTCCAGTTAATAATAAGAGCCATCCAAGCAGAGAGGTTTTTTGTTTTGGTAAATCAAAGCCTTCATTAAATTATTGCGTTTGAGTGTGGTTGCACACCTCTTATTTTCAAGTCATATTTTGTGTTTTCCATTGGCTGACAACAGCCAGAAAGTTTATGTAATTTTAAAGGCAATTTATTGTGCATTTGAAATAGCAGTAGACTTAAGGCGACCAAAATTAAATTAAGGCGACCAAATATTGCAGGAGAAAGAAACGTAACTGCAAAACATTTCCCAACTACTAGAGCTCAAACAGACCCTCTGTCAAAAGATGGATTTTTTTTTCTTTGTGAGGATCTCCAAAGTTCACCTTTTGGGACAGGAGCACTTGTGACTCTCTTCACACCCACTCCTGGTCTGTCTGACTCTCAGTAACGCTGAATGTATGCAAGTTTTAGCTCTCTTGAAAACAAACTAATGTGTGCCCACCCTATTTTCCTGAGCTGTGAAAATAGGAGAAAATGAAAGCCAAGAAGGTGTGATAATACCAGTTCCCTTCAGTTATAGGTGTACAATATAAAATGAGCTTGGTTTTGTGGTGGTGCTATTGTGACACGTATAGTCCCTTGTTTATGAGAGTTGACAGCCATGTCTGGATCCTTATGCCAGTTTCCAAGGGAATCCAAACCACCAAAGGACGGAGATGTCGGGAGGTCATCACAAGGGCCAGTTGCATCAGCCTCTCAGCTCCCCAAGGAAACGATGCTAGAAGAAAGGTGTGTTTGTGTACAAATCTCTGATAACAAAGAGTTGCAGGTGGAACCCTAGCCAGACACGTATCCATATAGGGAGTTCCCCCTCTTAAGAGCTCAAGCCAGAAGCTCTGTGGGCTAAACCTTATGAAGTTGTTTGGGCAAAGTCCTCCGAAGTGGGCGTTTCCCATTGTGATCTCTGGAGCAGAGCTTGCCAGGAGCTTTTCAAGTCAACTCCCAGCAAAATATGCGTAGAATACACATGCACGCCTTTACACACGAGACCAAGCAAGGCTAAGGCAGAGAATTTCACAGCTTCTTCTCCGGGTTGCGTTTTCACACAGGTAAGATTGTGTGCATATTAGCTTGGAGCTAGACTGGAATGTAAGGCTCAGAGGTGCTGAGGAATTACTCTTCCACAGAATCAAGTAGAAGCGTACTTTGTCGAGCTTTTAATATGAAGTAATTGTCTGCTAGGAGAATTGTCGATGAGCCTCAGAAATCACCCACATGGTACCTCAGGCTGTTGTTAGATATGCAAAAGAGAAAGGAAATATTTATTGTTAAGATATTTAATTGAATAGCTGAAATAGTGAAGTGTGTAATGAGTCAGAACATACAGTTATAGCTGATTGATTGGTGAGAGCTAACTCTTGCATGAGGCAATCTAAGCTGTGATTGGTTGCTGTGGGTATAAAGGGGGAGTTTCCATGTTTCCCGTCTTTTTACCTCATGAGTTTCCTGCAGTGTTGATTTACCTGTCGATGCTCCTGTTTGCGATACTCTTATTTACTCTAAATATGTTTATTTACATAAAACAACAAGTGCGTGTCGGCATGTCTGACTTCTTTTGCTCACTGGCTGCATAATTTCCTGCCATTTATCCTGTGTTGCTTGACTTGAATAAATTATTTGTGCTTTCTTGAAACTCTTGGTGGCAAGTCAGGAAATATCATTAATTTTCTCCAGCAATGTCCTGGGTTGTTGCTTTGATGTATAGTTGCACAATGTGATTATGTCTGGATCTTTAAAAAAAACCTACCACATGACAAGGTGTTTAAGCTTTATGTAAACTCCAACAGTTGTGTCAACAAAATCACCATACTCCTGTTGAAACGTCTCTTGAAAACATTTCTCCTTGGCAGCTGCCAGCGAGTCTGGGTGCATTCTCAAGGAAAGAGAAGTTCAACACACTGTATCTTTTTCTGACATGCTTGACCTTGGATCTCATCCAGGCTCTCTTGGCAGGCAGTCAATTCAGTCAACAGCTGTCGTCCTGCTCCGTAAAGGCTGGGTTATCTTGCATTTGGTGTGGTTGAATCACCACTCCCGTCTGGTTGTCATTGTTCCCTATTATGAATCTGCTTTGCAACTGCCTTGTTCAAACTCCTTCTTCGCTGATAACAACATTGTCATATGAAGAGTCATAAGCCACCCTTTCACCCGCCTTAATTATTTCTAAGTGGGGTGGAGTGTTCAGTCCAACAACTCTATCTGCAGACTGAAATGGCATGTCCCAAATATAAGCTTACTAGATAATGTTAGTCCCAGTCTGGTCCATGTAACTTGTAGGGTTATTTTCTTCTACTGTTGAGTGTACTTTGGCTCTTAAACATTCCCTGGTATTTGTGTGGGTTCTGTAATAAATTCGCCTTCCATAACTTGATGTTTCCCAAATGTTTGGGATACTACTTTCAGAAGTAGGAATTTTAGACCTATAGTCTAGCACTGCATCAGGTTGGAGAACATTGTGGAAGATTAAGTTTCTACAGGTGAGTCACTGGAAATTATACTCAGCAGCGTTTCCCCGTCAACTTTTCTGTGGTCAGGCTAAGGCAAAGATATTGCTCCAACAAAGACTAAAATTAATTATAAATCAAAACCCTTAATTTCACTTCATTCTTCTTGACCAGTTCAGTAATGTTTAACTGTTCAGTATCTCAAAAGTCATGGCAAATAAAGATAAGTAAGTAAAATCACAGTTCGTTGATTTTTAGAACATTCATATGTACCTTAGAAAATATATTTGATGAGACACAGCAAATATTAAGAGCAAAATAATGCTTAAAGCTACTTGAGGAATGCTTTTTTTCCATATCCCTGATAAGTGGGGAAAAATGTGATTATACGCCACCAATAAAACAGAAATTTCTCAACTCTGCAATTATATCTGTTACTTAATTTTGAAATTGATTGTCGGTGTAGGAAAATAAATTGTAACAGTAAAAGGTTCAGATACCCATCAAAAATTTCCAAAAGTATTTCTGTTTAAGAAAATTTTAACATTAGTGTATTGCACAATACAGTAGATTGGATTTCCCCCTGATCTTAAATAGATGTGAATCTTTGTTGATTTCTTTCTGCTGTTTCAAAAGTCTAGTGGTGAACCCTCCCGATTTTATATTTGCGTATTAATTTTCATTGACCCAAATTCAGAGCATTGCAACCTTGTTGCCAAAATACTTGACTTGGGCCAGGAAAACCTCTTGGTGGGAAGGGGCCTCTAGATCATTCAGAGGCACATTGGATTATTTTTTGAATCACCAGTTTGGGGCTTACTCAGAATCTTGTGCTAATGAAGACTCTTGATTTGTTTTCTCTGGTAATATGCAGCTGTTTTGTTTTGTAACTTTCTAGCTTTGCCTTTTGATTTTGCCTTGGAGGCATGTTCCTGAGGACTGGTATAAACATGATTGAAACTTCAAGCGTCAAGCAGCTTGCAGGCTGAGACTTCTGCTGTCCAGCCAGTAACCTGTACTTGGTCCTGTTTTCTCTTCTCTAAGCAAGCTTGTGTTTATGGAAAACTGAAGGAAGGGATGGGCCTGCCTGGTTTATGAACTGGGTGAGGTTTATAAGTCAGCCTCAACAAGAGGCAGCCCCCATCCTGGTCTTCAAAGGGTCAAAGAGGCAGCTAGCCAAGTGAGAAGCTTGTCTGAGGTGGTAACCTCAGTTTTGATTTTCTTGCAGCTCCCAGTAGATGGATATTGACATGGACTACGAAAGACCAAATGTTGAAACCATCAAATGCGTGGTTGTCGGGGATAACGCAGTAGGCAAAACTCGCCTGATCTGTGCAAGAGCCTGTAACACCACCCTGAACCAGTACCAGCTGCTGTCAACACATGTCCCAACAGTCTGGGCAATTGATCAGTATCGTGTCTGCCAAGAGGTAGGTGTGGCTTTGGCATGGAAAGACGTTTAATTCTAAGCCCCTGTCTAGAAGGAATGATGGAGAGAGTGGGCTGGAGGGAAGGAATTCCAGAGAGGGGAGTACAGTAGATTAGAGCAGGCCAGAGGAGGGCTCTTCTGTATTTAGAGAATATATGTGGAAATATTGCAAGTATTTACCTTCTGCCTTTGCATGCTTATGTCATTGCTACCTGGTGAAAGGTGCATCATATCCTTGCATACCTGCACTATTGAAGATTCAGATTTTCTGGCCAATGTATCCTCCCTTTTCCATCTTTTTAGCTGCCCACCTTTGCAGTTAACTGTCCAGAGAAATTCCCCTCAAATTGTTGCAAAAATAGCTGGTAAAGAAGGCATTCCACTTGTGTGATTTAAAAATGTGTAGGGTTACATTTTCTGTGCAGCTGTTACAGTGCAGCAATTCTACCCCAGCTGATTTTCGTAACCATTGGTCTTCTTCATAAACCCCCTGCTGGGTCTTAAATCTGCCAGGCTCCATCCTACTCTTTGCAACCGCAACTTACCTTCATGTCAGACTTTAATGATGCATTTTTCTTTTGTGTCCCACCAGGATATATTAAAATGTTGCATAATTATTGTTCATTTCACTAATCATTTGTTGTACTAATTTCATCGGAGCCTTATTTAGATTGTCTAAGCATAAATCTTTTGTTAAGAAATTGTGTTATGTACAAATACATGAAATCTGTCAGCTTAGCCCCAGATTAAACTGTGGTCAGCCCCTGCTGACCACAGTTTAGATTACATCCAAAAGCCAAGGTTTAATTCTGCACGTCTGCTCCCTTTAAGCTTTATAAATTCTTCTGCATAGCACAGTAACCTCTAGAGCAGGGGTGTCAAACTCACGTCCTCACAGCCACATCACGTGACGTATTGGGACTTTTCCCCCTCTTCACTAAACCGGGCATGGCTGCAGCCTGCATGATGCATCCAGCCCATGGGCCGGGAGTTTCACAGCCCTGCTCTAGAGGAAGGCTAATGGCCAAGCGTTCAAGTATTATACCAGACTATAATTAGCACAATATTTACTTCAAATCATACTTGCTGGGTTTTGGCAGCTATCACAAATAATGATTTCTAGCTTTGGGCTCCTGTCCAATCAAAATTTGGTGAGTTATCTGAATTGAACACCTGATGGTCTCCAACCAGAAGTTGGCATCTTCTACCATCCCTGACTATAACTTTGCTTGCCCCAATTTTTTGGGGAATTAAGTCCCTGCTATCTGCTCAGGTTCCTCACCTCTCACCCCCTCCCTCCACCTCCCCTGGATGTCTGTCTGCTTTCACAAAGCTTTATCTTACAGACATCTTTCTCTGTTCCAGGTTCTTGAACGCTCTCGTGATGTAGTTGATGAAGTGAGTGTTTCTCTCAGGCTCTGGGACACATTTGGAGACCATCACAAAGACCGACGTTTTGCTTATGGAAGGTCAGTCTAAGTTAGATGTCCCTTTTGTGGCAAGCAAGCTAACAGGAGAATAAGTACATCTTTAATGGGTTAACATTTGGAGCCTTTATTAATCTGTACGAAAGACTATATATTTCATAGAACATCCACAAAGAATGTGATGAAGAAACAGCACCCAAAATGAATAATTAAAATTAACTATTACATAATTAAATTAATGACTACATTTACTATTTTTATTTGCTCAGCTGTTCATAGAGAAGAGTTACTGCTGAGCTGGGAGAGTTTTGAAGACTGCAATCTTCAATATTTTTCAAGACTGCAGAGGGTGAAACTTTGCCTATCATTTTCAGAAAAATGAGATCAGACTAATGAGGAAGGTGCAGCTTGGTTATTAATTCCATGTTGGTAGAAGTGGAGACTATTTGATCATTCTAAATTCATTAGATGATGCAGTCTTTTTAGGACCAGAAGTCAACGCTAGCTTAAAATTCCTGCAAACCATTTGAGATTCATTGAAACTCCTTCAGACTTTCTCTCCATTTTGGTTACTTTTTAATTTAAAAGTTACTAAAAAGAACAGACTTCGTGGATGAGTATGAAACACCTTTGTGCCATAATTGCATGCATGTCAAATACATTAATATCAATCTTGGCAGCAGAAATCGAGATACAGAAATTCTTTTTGCACAGGTCTCAAAAGTGATTTGTTATATGCCACACAAGAGGATGAAGCACAAAGGCTGATCAGATCAGCCTCATAGGCCTTTGTGCCCAAGCAGATGTTCCGGCTGCTGAAGCTTCATTGACATCAATACTTTTGATTTAAAATTGATTACATTGTTCTAGATGGTGCTATAATCTGCAGAAGGTTAAACAGTGTCCTTGGACTTCAACTTCCATAATTCCCAAGCAATAGGCCTGATTGCTGTGCCAGTGGGGAGTTGGAAGTCCGACACATCTGTACAGCATCAGGTTGAGAATCGAGTAGGAGGGGAAATTGGGAACATTTGTAGATTTCCTTCCAGAAGCAACTGAAACCCATTGAGTTCAGAGTGTGCATCACCTCCCTCATCAGTAACACATTTCCGGCTTCCTATTTCAAGAGTTGTTTTGGGAGAAGCCCCAAAATGAGATGCCTCTGCAAGGAATTCTCTGGGGCAGGGGTCTCCAACCTTGGCAACTTCAAGCCTGGTGGACCTCAACTCCCAGAATTCCCCAGGGGAATTTAAAAATGTGTAGGGTTGCATTTTCTATGCAGCAATTCAACCCCAGCTGATTTTTGTAACTATTGGTCTTCTTCATAAACTCCCTGCTGGGTCTTAAATCTGCCAGCCTCCATCCTACTCATTGCAACCACACCTTACCTTCATGTCAACTTTAATGATGTATTTTTCTTTTATGTCCCAGGGGAATTCTGGGAGTTGAAGTCCTCCAGACTTAAAGTTGCCAAGGTTGGAGACCTCTGCTCTAGAGTGATGCCACAGTCCTTGAGAACCCTACAACCAGAGCAGAACACAAAAGGGATGGGGGACTTCTTGGTGCAGGGAGAGGTGGCTCCAGCTGCTTCCAGCTGATCCCTTGGTATCTCCTGGAGAACAGGAAGAGTAGCCGAAGTCATAAAAGACTTGAAGGATTTTGGTGGAACAGACAGACTCAGGAATGTTGACCATTGGCTTCTCTTGCTGACTTCATAGTACCTTCTGGGGAATAAGTCATTTAACAGCCAGGTTCAACAGCCTTGGTTAACAAATACAGTTAAATATTTAAATAACATTTACATGCCTTTTCTAAAAATTGTAAAATAAATGGCAGGGGCATTGCCCCTTTGCCAGATATCTGCATGCTTAAAATTCAGTGCTTATTGATTTTGTAGGGTTATTTGAATCCTTGCTTCTCCTTCTGGAGGCGCCTTCTGATACACAATGAAACATGTTATCCCTAAGCAGTTGGGCTGAGATATGAGGACAGAGCAAGGAGCATCCGAGGAAGGAGCATCCGAGCAGTTGGGAGAGGACTTATTTCCATCTCCTTGTGATGTCTCTGCACGAGATCCTTGGGGATAATTACTTGAGTAGAACTGCTGAACTCTTCAACTCTCAGCTTATTGAAATCTGGATTATTTTAGGGTCAGAAGAATTGATTCAAAGCGACTTCATGCTACAAACCAGCAAAGCACCTGTCAATCTTGGGAGAGATGTACTTATAAAAAGCAGCCCTCTCCTCTTATCTTTCCAGCACTTTGTCTCCCTGCAGGCACCACCATTAAGCCAGGGCACCATCATCCACTGGCCAACTCACTACTTTTCTTCCAAACAAGCTTTGTCCTGTCCTCTCTTTAGCTCCTGCCAATCTCCCTCTCCGTCTCACACCCCTTTGTGCCTCCTCTGGAAGGCCAGTGCTAGCCAAAAGCCACAAATGCCATTGCCCAAAAGCCATTTCAGTTTGGAACCATGCAGAGAACACAGCACCCCACTCTTTCTGTAGGTGAACAAGTACCTCAAACATACCTCTTTCTGGTTGGGCGTGCACAGTTTTTGGATCCTGTGTGGTTCAAGCCAGAGGTAGTTGGTGACTAGCAAGAATGTTGCTTTTAGGGAGTGGCTGATGACCCATCCAAAGTCAGATATGATACTCCTGGGCTCAGATTTCAGGGGACAATGAGGACACTATTGTATGGTGGTTTTTGAGGACCATCAGCGAACATTTCAAAACAAAGGCATGCCATTTGTTGCACAGCAATTTGTGCATTGAGAGGAGGACCAAATCACATTCTTTTCCCAATTCCCTTTTCTCAGTTCAGGAAGGGAAGGAGGGACTCTAAAATATATTCCTAATGCACAAAGAAGGAAAATGATGCTTTGTAAATACTCATCTCCATAAAGACACCTGAAGAGAGAGACATGATTGGCTGCAGCTTCCGACTGGGGGTATACAATTTAATTCCCTATGTCATACTTTGGGTTGGAAGGGGGGATAAGATTTATTAATTTCCCTCCCTGTGAACCATGAACCTTAAAGGGATCCTTGGTGTGCTGGATTTTCCTCCAGAAATTGTCTAGAATCATTATTCAAAGAGTCTCCTTGGTTTATCTCAGGACCTGTTTGATGCTTGCAGGTATTAACTGCCTGGCCCAACGTCCCCTTGCAAATTAGTCTTTAACCCACCATCAGGCGATGGGGGAGCTGACCTGCTTGCTGCAGCATTGAGCCTTTATTCTGCCCCCACTTTACCCTGATATGCCACTTGGGAGTTGGATAAGAGAGGTCTTTGGTTGTTGTGGAGGAACATAGAATTGCGACAATGTTTATGCACTTCAGCATCACAATCCTGGTGTACTTCTAAATATACCAAGTCTTGATTATTCCCTCCTTCCACCCATTTTTGAACAAAGCGATTGAGATATAAACTTTATTTAAAACAAATACTGTTTTGTTTTGCAGATCCGACGTTGTGGTGCTGTGCTTTTCCATTGCTAATCCTAACTCCCTGAATCATGTGAAGACAATGTGGTGTCAAGAGATCAAGCACTTTTGTCCTCGCACCCCTGTGATTCTGGTGGGCTGCCAACTGGACCTTCGCTATGCTGATCTGGAAGCTGTCAATCGAGCCAGGAGGCCTTTGGCAAGGTAGAGTTGAATGCAGATAAAACTTTGTTCCCCCGTGGCAAAACAACGCTGGACCTTTGCAGAAAGGGCAATGTCTTGGCTCCCAAAGAAGCATTTGAAATGGCCTTAATGTGTCCAAGTTCTTTAGTTTATAATACAATACATAAAGGTAAAAATAAAATGACTACCAAGTGAATTAACAATTCCATATCTGGAGAAAGGGTCTCTCAGATAAGCAAGAAGCCTTCTCACATGTTTGAGGACTTTGGGCATCAACACGTGTGGTCTTCATGGTGCATCCAGAAAGAGAAAGCATGAAGGCCAAAGGATCCCAAGAATGAGCCCTTGAATAGGTGGGGCCCACTAGTGCTTTCCAGTGAGACTGACCAGAGCCTGACCTCTTTTTTCATTTTATTTGCAGGCCTATCAAGAGAGGAGACATCCTGCCACCAGAAAGAGGCAGGGAAGTTGCTAAAGAACTTGGAATACCCTATTATGAAACCAGCGTCTTTGATCAGTTTGGCATCAAGGATGTCTTTGATAATGCAATCCGAGCAGCCCTGATTTCCAGGAGACATTTGCAATTCTGGAAATCCCATTTGAAGAAAGTCCAGAAGCCTTTGCTCCAAGCTCCATTTCTACCTCCAAAGGCTCCTCCCCCTATTATAAAGATCCCAGAGTGTCCCATCCTCAAGATCAATGACGTGGGATACTTACTGGACAATCCCTTGTGTGCAGACGTGGTCTTTATTCTTCAGGAACAGACTCAAATTTTTGCTCACAAGATCTACTTAGCTACCTCTTCATCCAAGTTTTATGACCTTTTCTCAATGGAATGTGAAGAAACGCCAGACTTGACGGAAAGCTTTTGTAGTGAAGGTAGTAATCTCCCAACCAGAACCTCTAGCCTTGAAGTTGTTGACCAGGGAGCGGAAGGGACAGCTGCACCGTCTTCTGCTTCGACTGAGGGCCTCCAGGTAGAGCCTGAAGCAGGAGAAGCCACCTGCCCAAAAGGTTCAACTCTCTGGGGCAAAGGTTTCATTAGTCTACATCAAGAAATGCAGATTAATCCTGTTTCAAAGAGGGTCTGTGCAGTGACGGTTGTCAAGATGGAGGCCTCCATCCAAACGGGACCTTTTAAAACCGTCCTGCAGTTTTTATACACGGGGCATCTGGATGAAAATGAAAGGGACCTCACCCAGGTAGCTCAGATTGCAGAGATCCTGGAAGTGTTTGACTTGAGGATGATGGTAGAAAACATCACCAACAAGGAAGCCTTCATGAACCAGGAAATCACAAAGGCTTTCCATGTCCGGAAGGCCAACAGGATAAAAGAATGCCTCTGTAAGGAGACATTTTCTGGTGAGTCTACATGGAAATATCCCTCTGCCTTGCATTTGTTCCAAAGCTAATAAGAACACCTGGGATGGTTGTGTGCAAACCAAGATCCAATTGGGACATTCTGAAGTGTCCAGGAAGGGAAGCTTAGTGCCCACAGCCAATAATTGTGCCCTGCGACAGGTAATTCCATATTCCTAGATGTTAATACAATACATCTTTATGCAAAAGGGCACATCTGCCCCTCCACCCAATCATTTTTGAAGCCTGGAGAGGGTTATCCTCCAGTTGTAGAATGGGGGGAAAGATGTAGATGCTGTTGAAAGAGAGATCCAAGTGGGGGTTCTCCTCTTCTGCTTGGAAGACAGCCTGACCCAGTTGAAGCATTGGGAAAAAGTCAGAATTTGCAGGGAGATGGGCAGAAATAGGAGGCCACTTCCTGCTTTCCTTGGCCCAGGAGATGTGGATGCTTTTGACAGTCAACTCCACAAGACATCTTGGGATCCTAGTGAATTTTAGCTCCTTTGATGATAACTGGAAGGGGTTCCCTTTCTTTTCTGTCCAGTTTCTTCTTCTCTTGCTTCATCTTCATCCAGTTTTGCTTTCCCTCTCTCTTTTATTCTTCCACCACCAGAATTTCAATTCAAGTGGGTTTTTTTGGGTGTGGGGGGAGGGATGCAAGCATTTTCCTCCAACCATTTACATCGGCTGTTTGTACATCAGTGTAACTCTCTGGTCCTTAGCTTTCAGTACATGGGAAATGACAATTCATCGTACAATTATCTCTAGCAGTAGTTCTTCAGACAGAAGACCTTCCCAGCTCTTCTGGGCTAGATCTGATTCTCTCTGCTGTGGCACAGCTGCTCAACTGCCTTTCTCGTCAACTAACTCTGTGACTTGGAGCTGTTTAAGTGGAGTACAGTGTATGAGTGTAATTTGGAAGATAATTAAATGACAGGTATTTTGGCCTACAGAAGAGCTGGGTTATTAAAGTTCCACTAGGTGGCAGCCAGAGAATGTGGAAAATACAAGGTACATGTGCCATCTAGTGGCCATATGGAGTTTTGCAATGAAGCTTAAGAAGCTCTAAGTTAGAACCCGCAGTTGGGGAACTTGGACTGGGACTGGGGAGACCAGGATCAAGTCCATGAAGGTCTCCTGGGTGATTTGGGGCCAGCCACCCTCCATTCAACCTACTTCACAGGGTTATTGGAGACAGGAACAAAGGGAGATTACAATCTAAGTCGCCTCAAGACAGAATATAAATATTATTATTAGCAATACTACTAGCAATGTGTTGTGGCATTTACATGTCGTATGAAACTGATAAATCTGACCCATTTAAATTTTTGCCAGTGACACTCTTGATAACCACAGCAAGAAGGAACCCCTGGCATGGTTCCTCTGATGGAAGCTCAGAGTTTAATTGTTCTGTTGCTCATTTAACCATTAATGTTTGTCCTTCAATGAATGACCTTCATAGCAGGTCACGTGTGCTGTCTTCCATGTTCTTTCTGATTCTCACATTTGGCTCTAAGCAGAAGTAGTCACAGGTTGTTATTGTATTTCTTTGATTCCTTAACAGATGTGACATTTGTGTTGGAAGATGGAAAGATAAATGCTCATAAACCGCTTCTAATCTGTAGCTGTGAATGGATGTCTGCCATGTTTGGAGGATCCTTTGTGGAGAGCTCAAACAGTGAGGTATGTGTCCTCTTTGGCCTGGCTTTGCTCTGGAGAAGGAACTTGCTTTGGGTTGCAAGGACTCCTTGGAGGGTGTGGGAATCCCTTGGTGATGTCTCTTTGGGGACCCCTCTTCTCCAGTCCGTCTTCTGCACTAGTTCACAGATGATAGCTGTCTCCTGACTGTCGGGAGTTGGTGGGATGGGGAGGTTGCAGGTAGAAAAGCTGGTCTCCATCCCCCATTAGATCTCAGCCCCACAAGATGAACCAGGTGGACCTCATCTTCATTCAATTCTGCCTAATTTGTAGGGCTTCAAAACGCCATGTGAAATGGGCACAGCCTTAAGTGTGAAATGTTAGAAAAGCCAGTGGGTCACCAGGCTATCCAAGAGAACAATTTCCAATTCCTACCTTGACATGAAACATTGGGGTGGAACACTGAAAGACGAGGAACAGATGGAAAGAAGATACAATTCTCGTTTCTGGTGATACAGTATTGATGACCTCAAAGAACAGTGATAGCAGCTTTGATTACTTTTTTAGCACTGTCTGAAATGATCTTCTCATTATTCCTCATATTTAAACAGCTTTCTTTGCTTTTCACTTGATTGTCAAGGGGACTCTCCTGCCCATCAAGAGAAAATAATGTGGATCAGCAATTCTCTCTCTCTCTCTCTCTCTCTCTCTCTCTCTCTCTCACACACACACACACACACACACACACACACACACACACACGGTGGTGGGGGGAGAGAGAGACATTATACACTTAATATTCTGGAAACTGTGTCTACTAAAAAAAATTCTCATTACTTTTGAAACAGCAGTAAGCATAATTCCCTCCCTGGAGGCACCCCCACCAGGTGGTTCATTAAAAATACATACCTTGATTCAGTAAGCTGTGCTCTACAAGAAGAAATTATATATATATATATATAGATAGATAGATAGATTTATACATACATATACACAATCTGGTTCCTAATTTTAACCACTAATAACATGCATTCTTCTTGGTAATCTTAAATATTAATTGCATAGCCCTATTTTTTTCATAGCACATGAAGCTCTGGGTGCCCATCATCTTTCACTGCCTTGTTCAGGGAGAATGATGGGAATGGAAGGAGCAGAGCCTGTTTCAAGATGTGGGTAGCATGTAAAGTCTGAGGCAGTTCCACATAAATATAATGAGCCCCTTCTAATTTATTTATTGTTCTGAAATTCTGCAGGAAGAACAGGTTATTTGCAGCAATAAGTCAGGCATTTGTGCTCAGTCTCTGTAACAGCCAGCCAAAAAAAGGTGGGGGGAGAGGGGGAGAAATCTCTCCTAAATCATTGCTGAGATGGTGGGTCTTTACCCTCCTCTAGTGGCAACTTTACACGTTCTCCCTGGCTTTGTGTGTTTTATAAAGCGGTTGTCATGGATACTTATGCCTAGTAGAATGTTCTTTAAGAAGTTGCATGGGTAACGCAAGAACTTTGTGCAGGTGGTGGTGGTGGTGGTGGTGGTGGTGGTGGTGGTGGTCATCTCCACCAGAGGAGAAACCCTGGAGGAGGAGAAGTTGGCCTCAAAGCACATGTAACTCAGGGGCTTTGTGATCGCTTCTCATCCAAGATCTGAGCCTGCTCTGTTTCCCCACGATCAGCCGTGGACCATTTGTTGTGATGAGGACATATGGTTCTTCTTCTGCAGGAGAAGATCTAGTTGTCTCAACAGAACAGAAGCAATGAAGTACGGGACATTGAAGAACAAGTCCAGTCTTGATGATCTGAACTGACCTTTGCCAATACTTCCTCCTTGTTGGACTGTCTTTCTGGGTTTAATTTAGGAGGGAAGATGGGCAGCAAGCATGGGAAATCTTGAAAACCTGATGCACTGATGTGTTTTGAGGGAGCTTCTGCTCTTGCTTCACTCTGTTCTCCTCTATCCCCCAGTGTAAGCACTGATTCTTAGGAGAACATGACTTTGAAAGTGAAAAGAACATTGCAGAATTATCGAAAGCAGTTGTCCTAGGAAAGGTAATACTGAGAAGGGCTGAAAAATAATCAGCATCCCAGAAAGCATCTCTGAATTATTTTTAGCTCTGGTGTGTTTATATTAAGGGCAGAAAATTGCTAACGCAGAGCCCCAAAATGAAGAGTCCTTGACCTTGGGTGTGCACACTGGGCCTATGTATTCTTCATCATTATCCAGCTTAGTCCCCTTTCTTGCAGTCCAGTTGGCCCAGATCCCTAATGTGTAAATACAGTATATGGGATGTGTTCCTGTGCACACATGACAAACAAAGGAAGGCTCTTTTCATTGTTGATTTTGGGGACTTTGCAATTGCCTCTCACTCACGATCTGAGCCTGCTCTGTTTTTCCACAATCAGCCATACTTGTGCTTCTGGTCCACAATCATCTTATGTTTCCGTTTGCAGAAATCAGCAGTGGGGTGGTTCAGCTGTGCCACTCGGACACCTCTATGGGCACTTCTCAAGAGCTCCAGTGTTTTATTTAAATTGCTGTAGTGTCAGTGGATGAGAACTTAGGGAGCTAAGAGGGTCCAGGGTTCCACTTTTCCAAGGCACAAATGACATATTGGCAGGGGGCTTCCATGCTGAAGGGAACTCATGGGTGACTTGCCCATCTTTACAATGATTTTGTTGTCCTTCCAGAAGCTGCAGCTTTCTAATAAATTGTATTGTTAGTGATGGAAGTCAGAGCACTGATGCTCATAGTTTAGCCATCAAGTTGGGGGAATTGGGAAGGTCAGTTGGAAGTGAGTCATAAATTGAGCTCCGAGCCAGCCAAATCTCACAAAAATGAGAAGAAGGCATAGGAATGCAAGCCACCAAGGACAGCAGTTTAGGGTTTAGCAAAACCGAATTATCAAGAGAGTTTTGTTGCCCAGCTACCTCCTGTGATGGATTTTCTTCTTCCGTGAACCCTCAAGCTCCACCACTTGCTTTCAAATGTTGCTTCCTTTACTGTTGAAGAGCTGCAGGAAGGCCACCTCTTTCCAAAGAGATGGCCTTCAGATTGCTCAGCTGATGTGTTTTGATGAGATGACTTATCTGAGCTTTAGGCAAAGCTGAGAGCATTTGGGATAGAATGACCAGGCATCTGAGGCAGATGTCCAAAGTTCTTTCTTCTCCTCTGAGACCTGGTTCATTACGTGTTTCAGCCAAGGTTTGCCCCTAGCACAGCCGTTTTGTTTGGGCATCATGAGAGTTTCTCAGATTTTGAAATGTATCTATCAGCTCCCCCTAGGTTGGGTGCTTTAGTGTAGAGCTTTTCATAGGCAACCTTCATCTATTCTGCCTATAGAAGCTCAGCCTCCTTGAAGTTCAGGTCAACTCTGCCTGTTGCATGGAAATAACTGTGTTGTTTTCTTAGCAATCATATAGAAGAGGGGTGTCATCACGATGCCACCACGTGACGTATCAGGATTCCCCCCCCCTCTCGCTAAACTGGGTGTGGCTGTGGCCAGCGCCTGATGCATCTGGCCTGTGGCCCATGAGTTTGAAAGCCCTGATATTGAACATAGAATAACAGAGTTGGAAGGGACCATGGAGGACTTATAGTCCAACACCCTGATCGAGCAGGAGATCCTGTACCATTTCAGATAAATGATTGTCTAGTAATCTCTTTTTGAAAGCCTCCAATGATGGAGGACTCAAAATGTCTGAAGGCAAGCTGCACCACTGGTTGATTGCCCTCATCATTAGGACATTTCTCTTTGGTTCTAGGTTGCTTCTCTCCTTGGTTAGTTTCCATCCATTGTTTCTAGCCTTGCCTTCCCTTTTGGTGTTTTGGAAAATAGTTTGACTCTCTTGCCTTTGTAGGAGCTGCCCAGATATTGGAACACGGCTTTCATGTCACCCCTAATCCTTCTTTTCATTTGACTAAAGGTAAAAGTAAAGGGTTTCCTTGCACATATGTGCTAGTCGTTCCCGACTCTAGGGGGCGGTGCTCATCTCTGTTTAAAAGCCAAAAAGCCAGCGCTGTCCAAAGACGTCTCTGTGGTCATGTGGCCGGCATGACTAAACGCCGAAAGCACCGGAGCACTCTTACCTTCCCACCAAAGGAGGTCCCTATTTTTCTACTTGCATTTTTTACATGCTTTCAAACTGCTAAGTTGGCAGAAGCTGGGACAAGTAATGGGAGCTCACTCTGTTATGCTAGGGATTCGAACTGCTGACCTTTCTGATCGACAAGCTCAGTGTCTTAGCACTGAGCCACCACATCCCTTTTGTGAAATTAATTTCACTAATTTCATATTTTTCATATGTTTTAGCCTCCAACCCCATGTCATCTTTGTTGCTCTTCTCTCCATTCTTTCCAGAGTCTCTCAAACTCTTTTTAATATTGTGGTGGTGACCACAACTGGATGCAGTATTCCAAGTGTGGCCTTACGAAGGCTTTGTAAAGTGGTACCAGAATTTCACGTTATCTTGATTCTATCCTTCTGTTAATGTAGCCTAGGACTGCACTGGCTTTTTTGGCTGCTGCTGCACACTGTTGGCTCATATTTAAAAGAGTGTCTCCCAGATCCCTCCCACCATTACTGGCATTAAGCCAAGTTTCATCTAGCCTGTTCACAGTTGGTTTTGGAAATGGCTTTCCTTTTGCCATTTGCAAATTTACCATTTACAAAGTTGCCATTTACAAATTAAAATTCACAAATTTTACATTTGTAAATTTACCATTTGCAAATGGTGCAACTTCTGGGATGTCCAGTTTAGAGCTGTAGGTTTTCCCATGGTCTCTAGAAAATAATTTCAACATAGAGAACACAGAGAGGGTAAGATGTAGGTTAACATCTTGGATTTCGTCTTCTAAGATGAGATCCTGATTAATGCATTGGCTTGATGAAGCAAATTTTTTTGAAGACGACAAAGATGACTCAACGAAGCAATAGATGCTGAATTGCTGCCAAGATACTTTGCAAACTTTACTCCAACCACATGAAAGCAGAATTGTATGTAGGAGAAAGTTTGTGAATGAATTTAATGTAAGGCTTCTCCTGATGGGATGGTAGATTTTTGATTCTAATAATTGTAGATTTGGTAGTAGTAGAACAAGCTGCCTGTGCTGATGATGCGTTCCACCGAAAGTGAGATCCATTAATGAGAATCAGAACTTTGAGCAATGGCTTAGTAAATCAACTAAAAAGCAAGCATGCTGTAGCACAAATTTACAGTGGGAACTGTTTTTACAGATCCAACCTTAAGCTGCAGAGCATGTTTGAATGTGTGAGTGTATGTACAAATTCCATAAGAAGAGCTATGACTCACGAGGGAGCATCCTAGCGTTTGGTCAGGAGTGCTTGTATTTTGTTGGTCTCCAACCTTAATGTAGATTTTCATCCTGGGTAGTTTCCCACAGACCTAAGTAAATGGGCTGCATGTCTGAGATGAGATCTTTTTTTTAAGAATAATGATTTAATTAGCTCTGAAGGTGGAAGCTTGGATATTTCCAAGCTTATAGGGACTCTCAATCAGTACCTCAACTCCCAGAATGAAGATTGAGTTTGATTTTCAGAGGCTGGGAAGCCACAGGTTTTGTCCTCCTCTGTCCTCCCCTTCTCTTAGTTTGGGAGTAGGCTGACCCTTCCCTTGCAAGAAGGAGCCTCCTGTAGGGGAAGCAGTGGCAGGATTTGGGGGCACCGTTAAAAGGATTAGCCTAGAATCTCTGTGTAGCCACAAACGAGCAAACTAAGTCTAAGTCCTTGAGCAAGTCTGCTTGTGGCTACCTAGGTCAGGGGTCTCCAACCGTGGCAACTTTAAGACTTGTGGACTTCAACTCCCAGAATTCAGCTCTGCTGGCTGGAGAATTCTGGGAGTTGAAGTCCATAAGTCTTAAAGTTGCCACGGTTGGAGACCTCTGCTAGCTGCTATCCTTATCCAAGAGCCAAGGTGGCGCAGTGGTTAAATGCAGCACTGCAGGCTACTGCTAGATCAGCAGTTCAGCGGTTCAAATCTCACCGGCTCAGGG